TTCATTGCTCATTATTGTCTACCTCATCCTCGACTCTGTGACGTGGAATTATTCATTTCTACTCATAATGCTCTTTGTTATTAACTTGTGAAAATTAACTTTAGCATACTTTTTAAAAAAGTAGCTGATTGTTACAGAAATAACACACTTTAATATACTAAAGTGCGAACTGTATCAACACTCAAGTGCCCGTTAATTGCAATCACATTTTTTTTTCCATTTTAATAAATGCATTTAGCTGAACTTAAGTGTTTTTGACCCACTTAAGTAGGACTCGAGTGCATCTTTATATGCAGTTTTATAATTACTTCTGTAGTATGAAATATGGTAAAAGTGCTGCTGAATGTACTGACAAGCATTTATGACTAAAATATACTTTATTTCTATTGAAACTTGTATGTCATGTATTTAAATCTATTTTAAATTACTAATTTGTAATGAAGTTGCCGTTTAGTGCATTTACAGTCTTTTAACTTTAAATGTAATATTGAATAACACACTACAGTTAAAATGATAATCAAGTACTGTACATGTGCTTTAGTTTGTTAGTCAACACGACAAATGATTATTAAAACAACGTCAAATTAAAAGTCTTTACTTTTTACTAAGTGCATTTTAACTTAACACGTGCTTTTGTTTTCTTTGAGTTATTGAGTTATTTTAGTACTTTCATTTAAACTTAATTTATTTCAGTTCGTTGCCAAGGCAACATTTCTAATGATTATAATTTAGCTTTTAAAGCTTAAGTTGTTCCATCTAATATTTTTTATTTAATTTTATTTCAGCTTTATTTCAATTACTAAAATGATATTTATTTATTTATTTTAAATGTATTTTTCATTTTTAGTTAACAATAAAAACACATTTTAAAAAACTACATTCAGAACTAAACAGTTCTTCTCTACCGTGATTGACCGCAAAGCGCAGTTTCTGTATGACAGCCAGGTTTCCACTGACTCTGTACAAGCCATCGACATTCAAGCCTGAGAAAAAGATACAGAGAAATGAGAAAGGAAGTGAATGTAGTCCTAGAATGATAACTCAAAAATGTATAAGTAATCCAATTGATGAAACAAACAGATACATACTTGTATTCTCCACATGCTCAATGCACATCTTGACAAAATTAGGTACGGAAGTGCTTTCTCTCTGACACAGGGCAGTCAAACTGCAGCCAAACACCTGATCTGAAAACAGACAGAAGGGTTAACAGAACTGCTTCCTCTTTATGTAGATCATCCATTAAAGCCCAAAATTCTAGTTAACTCCTAAGCTGTATGTGCTTCTATTAGTGTATTTGTTTAAAACAAGCCCCAAATCAAATAAATAAGTAACACAAATAAAGGCTTTGTCTGTGCTCTTTCCATTTAAAATGAGAGGCAACCACTGCGTTTTAATCACGATCCAAACAAAGATGCTGCATACTTGCAACATGAGCAGTTTTTAATCTAAATTAGATTGTATAGTTTCGAAATTTGAAGCAAAAACAGAATGGTTTGACTTCAGTTTTGTGAAACTATGCATAAAAAATATCTGCATGAAACCGAAACAGCAGACGAGCTGAACGAGACGCAGATTCACTCTCTGCCAGCAGGTGGCGCTTAAAGCATTTCCTTGGTTTCCGCTGTAAACAAAGCAGCGCTGCACTTATGAACTTTAATATGCATTATACAGAGGCAAGAGGATAAGAAAAAATACCATTGAAATACAGTAAGTTCCCCTCAGACATGCATTCATATAAACTCCTACCACTAATTGAATCGCGATTTGTTTAGCATCTCAACCGATTTGAATCGTCACATACTCAAATCGATTTTCAACCGGCTCGCGGTTAATCGTTACATCCCTATTACTTACCATTGAGCTGACTGATGAACTGCAAGAAAGAAATGCACTTTCAGATATGAGTAAACGTGCCTTCGCCTGTGGGCTTTTCAAGCAATGTCAGTAATCTTGCAGATTTGTGAAGCAGCTCAGATTTCTGCCGTCACGTCTCTCACGCAGCTCTGTGTGTTTGTGGTTAGGCTCTGCCGCTGCATAAGCTGTCCATCACAGAGAAGGTTGTTCAGGCCGTTCAGTCCATGCTGCTGCCGCAGGAGGGCAGTCTGTCCATCCACACGTCTCTGCCTGCGTCTGGAGACGGATCCAGTCCTGTGATGGCTGTGGTGCGTCTTCTGGCCGAGATCAGAACCAGGTCAGACCCTCAAGTATATGGAAGTCAAACACGAGCGGTCGCTCTTCTTGCCTGTGCATTATCGTACAGTAGTGTTTGGGACCTGGGGTGTTTATTCTGCGTGTTCGACTCCGTCAGGGCGTGTTTGGTGATGGCGCAGCTGCTGGAGGACAGCTCGTTCTGTGAGGAGTTTATTCAGCAGTGTCCCGCAGCGGTGGAGGTGCTCAACCTGATCGCTCAGGAGTGCAGTCCTGGTGAGAGCTCACACCGATCCTTGCAACATCCTTTTTTTTTTTTTGTACATCCAAAAACAGTTACCATAATGGTAAAACACACTCTTATATTTCATATGATTATACAGTTTATATAATTTATTATTAAATTATATAAACCGTAATAAAATAATGATATTATGATCTTTATTTTTATTTTGTATAATATTTTGCATTTTTTAAATTCTGTTTATTAATTCTTATTTGCATAATACATTAACTAACTGAGAACAAATCTTGTTGGTTCTCGAGTTTCTAGCAAACCCGTGTCTGATGTTTATATGTGACCCTGGACCACAAAACCAGTCATAAGGGTAATTTTTTTTTTAATTGAGATACAACCGAGATACAACTATTTGAGAATCTGAGAAAATCGCCTTTAAAGTTGTCCAAATTAAGTTCTTAGCAATGCATATCACTAATCAAAAATTAAGTTTTAATATATTTACAGTAGGAAATTTACAAAACATCTTCACGGAACATGATCTTTACTTAATATCCTAATGATTTTTGGCATAAAAGAAAAATCTATAATTTTGACCCATACACAGTGTATTTTTGGCTATTGCTAAAAACCAGTTTTCTCCAACAACTAAAATTAACGGATGCTAACATGGTCTTCTATGATGTGCAACACAAAAACCTCTGCTAAAATCTGGGGTTTCATGACCCTTTACATGAATTCAATTTTCTTAGTGATAAAAATCTCCCTCAGCTTCTGCTCTTAATTTATATATCACTATAAGGTTACAGTTAATAACACAGCCCAAACTTAACTTAAATTCAATTACTATTTATTTTTAACTTTAATAATCGACGCTCAAATTAAAAACTTGAATGCAGTGGCTTTCATAACAGATTTATTTACACGTGCGTTAAATAATGAAGACGTCACTAACAGGTAAAGTAAAATATAATGAGTATATAGTTCTCCAGACTTAATTTCTCCAGCACATATAGACACTGATGGCTTGCCTGAGATAAATTAAATGCCACGTGACATTTTGTTTGCAAGCTGTTTTAATGACGTCCTTCCATGGTTGAAACACCGATTGAGCGATTACGTGAGGGGTGAGATGTTCATTCATGTTTATTTCACGGTAAAACTAGTAGTAAAGAGGAACGGATGATCGTCAGAACTGAGGCGCTTATGCAGCGATCTGTCATCAAAGAGCACCAAAACAGCATTTATTGTCTGAATTTCCTGAGAAAATGGACTGATTTGTACACATGCGTACCGAAGCGAAAGAGCCGTGTAGCATTGCACCCCTATCGTACAGTAGTGTTTGGGATCCGGGGTGTTTATTCTGCGTGCTTGACTCCGTCAGGGCGTGTTTGGTGATGGCGCAGCTGCTGGAGGACAGCTCGTTCTGTGAGGAGTTTATTCAGCAGTGTCCCGCAGCGGTGGAGGTGCTCAACCTGATCGCTCAGGAGTGCAGTCCTGGTGAGAGCTCACACCGATCCTTGCAACATCCTTTTTTTTTTTTGTACATCCAAAAACAGTTACCATAATGGTAAAACACACTCTTATATTTCATATGATTATACAGTTTATATAATTTATTATTAAATTATATAAACCGTAATAAAATAATGATATTATGATCTTTATTTTTATTTTGTATAATATTTAGCATTTTTTAAATTCTGTTTATTAATTCTTATTTGCATAATACATTAACTAACTGAGAACAAATCTTGTTGGTTCTCGAGTTTCTAGCAAACCCGTGTCTGATGTTTATATGTGACCCTGGACCACAAAACCAGTCATAAGGGTAATTTTTTTTTTAATTGAGATACAACCGAGATACAACTATTTGAGAATCTGAGAAAATCGCCTTTAAAGTTGTCCAAATTAAGTTCTTAGCAATGCATATCACTAATCAAAAATTAAGTTTTAATATATTTACAGTAGGAAATTTACAAAACATCTTCACGGAACATGATCTTTACTTAATATCCTAATGATTTTTGGCATAAAAGAAAAATCTATAATTTTGACCCATACACAGTGTATTTTTGGCTATTGCTAAAAATATCCCCCAGCGACTTAAGACTGGTTTTGTGCTCCAGGGTCACATACGTGAATAAAAAATACGTTTATATTTGAATAAAAGCTTAAATTAAATCTGTTCAACATAGGAAGTGATCATATCTTTACAGTAGCAGTGTTGTTGTTTTGTTAACTAAAAAAACTTACTAAAAAAAAACTTATGAAAATGAGAAAAGTCGCCTTGGCAATTAACTTAAAATAAGTTCTGAAAGTACTAAAATTGCTAAAACTAAAACTGAAATAAATAAAAAAGTAAAGCTAACTAGAAATATAAAAAATAAACTACATGAAGAAAAAAATAAATTACTAAAACTGAAAATATAAAAACGAAAGCTAATTCAAAATATTAATAAATACTATAATAGTATATAAATAATACTAAAATAGCACTGACAACTGCATTTTCTTATTTCGTTAGCAATTTATTTGTGTGTGTTGAAAATTAGAAATGTTGCCCCGGTAATTAAATGAAATGAAATGAGTACTGAAATTACTAAAATTACAACTGAGATTTAAAAAAATGATTAATTAATGCTAAATAGAAATATAAAAAAAACTAAAACTAATGAAAATGACAAAAGCACTTAACAAAATTACTAAAACCTAAACAAAAATTAAAATGAAAACTGAATATAAAAATAAAAACTAAAATATGTATAGAGAAAAATGATGAGAGGATATTAAAAATATCACCATTCGTGTTCTGAAGATAAACGAAAGTATAAGACCAGTTTGGAATGTAAATGAGCGCGTTTTCATTTGAACAAACTCTTTAACTCGCTCTCATGTCTGTTTAAATGCATAATCTTGCATGACTCTTCCATATTCTTGCATGAACACTAAAAAGAGTTTTTACAGCTGTGCTTTCACACAGTGAAGCATAAAGTAGCTCATATAACTGATACAGTGATATCTTCCTGTAGTGAAACAGCATTTATCGGCATGACTGGCGGTGTGTGTGTTTGCAGGAGAGCGTTTAGTGATGGTTGAGGCTCAGTGTGAGCGGGTTCGGATGCTGTATCGAGACTGTGCTCGTCCTCCACCTCCTCCGGTGCAAACTGATCAACGACAGGTGACTTGCTTTATTTAATGTGATCAAGAAGAGCTTTTTCTTTTTTCTTTTTAAATATCGATTAAAGTGTGATATTATCATATGTCTGCTATCATTCTCTCAACTCCCTGCTTGCCTTATATGTGACCTGTGACACAAAAGCAGTGTTAAGTCGCTGGGGGATATTTGTAGCAATAGCCAACAATACATTGTATGGGTCAAAATGATAGGTTTTTCTTTTATGTCAAAAATCATTAGGATATTAAGTAAAGATCATGTTCCATGAAGATATTTTGTAAATTTCCTACCGTAAATATATTAAAACTTAATTTTTGATTAGTAATATGCATTGCTAAGAACTTCATTTGGACAACTTTAAAGATGATTTTCTCAGTATTTAGATTTTTTTGCACCCTCAGATTCCAGATTTTCAAATAGTTGTATCTCAGCCTATCCTAACAAACCATACATCAATGGAAAGCTTATTTATTCAGCTTTCAGATGATGCATAAATCTCAATTTTGAAAAATTGACCCTTAAGACTGGTTTTGTGGTCCATATGGGCTTATATGGGAAGTTGATAATAATATGTTGCTTAGGAAACCCAGATCTTCTTCCTCTCTCTGCAGCCTAAGGAAATCACATGGTGCCCGTCGCGCATCTTCCCGCCGGTTCGCGCCTGCATGTTCTCTTCACACTTGACCTCCGTGACCTTTCTGGCCGATCCGAGCGCAGGCGGAGGTCTTCCCAGAGGAACGTTCATCTACGCCACTTCACCTGTGCCTGTCCAGGTAACCACAGCCTGTTTGTGGCTCATACACTTTTGAAGAAAATAAATGCTTAAAATAAAGACTTCTGTTCTGCAAGATCCAATGCGGTTTTGGATTTTTAGAAATTGTTTTATAATTTTTTTTAATGTTTATTTAGTTCCAGTTAATTTAGTACTTCAACTTAAACTAAATGAACATGTTAGTTTATTTTATTTAATTTCAGTTAATGTTTATTTTCATTTTTTTTATGGTTTTGGTTTTAGTATATGATAATAACCCTGCCAAGGATGCATTATATTGATCAAAAGTGATGGTAAAGACATTTATAATGTTAGAAAAGGTTTCTTTTTCATATAAATGTTGTTCTTATGAACTTTCTATTCATCCAATCCTGAATAAAAATGTCACGGTTTCCTCAAAAATATATAGAAGCACAACTGTTTTCATCATTACTAATATGAATATGAAATAATAATAATAAGCAGATTAGAATGATTTCTGAAGGATCATGTGACACTGAAGACTGGAGGTCGACCGATAGTGGATTTTAACGATACCGATTAATCAACCGATAGTTTTTTAAATGGATACTAAATGAAAACTGAAATAGTGCTTTACTATAAAAAAAAAAAAAAAAAACAGTACTGAACCATACTTTGTAAATGAATACAAATATTAATACTAAATATTAATTATATATTGATCATTAACGTTAGTTCATAGTCCATTAACTAATGTTAACAGAAGCAACTTCAAAATGTAAAAATGCATTAATAGATGTTGAAATTAACACACTCTTAACTAGATGGCCATGACGTGTCACGTTCAGTTCAAGCGGCGGTCTAAAACAGTTTATTTAATCACCAAACGGGTGAAAGTTCACTTCAAGAATGATCAAAAAAGCAGCATGCATGAGTTTGAAGTTTGGTGTTTAAAAAAAAAAACGAAACAGAGCAAACGGGAAAAAAAAAGTGCGATCAATATTATAGCTCTCTATATGAAGCACACAGATTTTATTAGAACCACAGAAATACAAATGTTTCAATGCACAATACACAATCTTCCAGCCCAGGGTGAAGTCTTTATGTACATTAACAACAATCTGGGACAAATATAATATAATTTAATGGCGCTCTGTCGGCTGAATGTACATATCGGTTTGCTTTCTCACGTCACAGCTTTAAATCTGCAACTTCACTGGCTAACAAATGCATTAATGTGACCAGCTGGATATAAACTAATGCAAATAGATGGTAACAATCGTGACATTAAGCATTTGGTTCAGACTTGCCTGCAGTGTTAATTTCGTTGACGAATAATTTTTGCCATAATTGTCGTCAACGACATTTTTTTCACAGACGACAACGAGACGATAACGAACTAAAACTCTTTTTGAATGACAAAAACTATGTTGTAAATCTATTGACATTTTCGTCAATGAAAAAAAATGAGACGAAAATGTTAGGGAGGGACGATTTGGGATGAGATTCATTCCGAACGAATCTGCTGCGTGGTTAGGAGGTCATGCATACATATGAACCGGCGGAACAGCTAAAATACACTTGCTGCACGTTGCGTAAACGTAACATGAAAATGTCAATATGTGTGAGTAAGAGAAGAGCAGACATATGGATAAATCTGACGACGCAAGAAAGAACTCAATTCGGTCCGGTTTTCTGAGCGCAGACACTATACACACACAGCGCGTCTCACAGCGCGCGAGGACTCTTTCACGTCACATGAACAGAGAATTACACGCAAAAGGATGTCGAATTGTCCGTTTTGACGAGTATTCATGTAAACTCAGTTGATTACATCTTTAGTGAATGTAAACAGTAGGAAGAACATGTATCAGTACATTGCATCCATTGCAGCCGTGCATTCGGTTTTAAAGGGACAGCAGCCTAATTTCGTTGCTATTGTCAGAGTCATTGATGTTAATCAAGCAACAAAAGAAAGACAGAAAATCACGCACTGCTCTTGACTGAAAAACTTTAGTAGCCTTAAAGATGAATCTAAATTTATTTATAGTAATATGTCTGCTTGAAAGCATGAAGAATATGGTAAACAAGTTGCTATAAAGAATGCATAATTAGCCTATATAACCATTGGTATTTCATTAAAAAGTAGAGCATGTTCTTGTTCTTTATGAGAAGTGGTTTTATTTCATTTTAACATAAAGGCATGTTGTGTGTCACCGCAGTTCAATCATTGTCTATCATGATAAAACCTTAATATCAAACCTATATAATAAGTTTGGAAATTTTTGGAGAAATGCTTAATAAATGTATTACACTGTAACTAAACCCATTCGATTTTAGCCGACTAAATTTACTGTAATTTAGTCGACTAAAACTAGACTAAAACTAAAAACAATTCAGATGACTAAAATATGACTAAAACTAAATGGCATTTTAGTCAAAAGACTATGACTAAAACTAAATCAAAATATGCTGTCAAAATTAACACTGCTTGCGTGAGTTTTGGTCAACTATCGGTGCCGATTAATCGGCAAAACCGATACATCGGTCGACGTCTACTGAAGACTGGAGTAATAATGCTGAAAATGCAGCTTTGCGTCACAAAAATAAATCGCATTTTACAATATATCCACATAGAAAACAGTTATTTTAAATTCTAATAATATTTCACAATTTTACTGTTTTTACTGTTTTTCAAATAGAAGAGACTTTAGAAAATCTTACCAGCTTCTCTACGTCTAGCTCACATTTTCTCTCTTTCTGGTTTCCAGGCTCCTTCCTTTTACTGGGAGATCGAGGTTGTTTCTTTCGGCGACTCGGAGGATGACAGCGGCCCTGTGGTTTCGTTCGGTTTCTCCCCGGAGGCCGAGAAGAGAGACGGCGCTTGGACCAGTCCTGTGGGCACCTGTCTATTCCACAAGTACTGACCCGCTCCATTTAACACGTTCACTGGACTCTTAACCTGTTCTTTCTGTTCCTCTCTCTGCTTCCCATCCTAACTCTTTTCTTTTTACGTGTCGTCCTTGTTGTTGTTTCTCTCCCGCTCAGTAATGGGAGGGCGGTACACTATAATGGCTCCAGTTTGCTGCAGTGGAAGAGTGTGAGACTAGACGTGACTCTACTTCCCGGTGAGACAGGACCGACTTTATTC